CGGGCTCGCCGGCGGAGTCGCGACCGAGCTCGCGGCGGCCTCGACGCGCGCCGGAGTCGCGGCGGCCGCGGCGGCCGCGCGGCGCCGCGCGACCGCGGACCGCGTCTCCTCGACGGACGTGTCCTCGCGGGAGCTGCCGTAGGCGAAGCGCAGCGGCGCCTCGTCGTCGGGCGGCGACACGGCGCGCGCCTCCTCGACGGACGTCTCGCGACCGGGCGTCCCGTAGGCCCAGCGCACGGACGGCGCGCGCCGCCGCTGCGCGACGGCGGCCTGGCGCCGGCCGCCCGACGGCGGCAGGCGCCGCAGGATGTCGTTGTGGCGCGAGAGAGAGGCGCGGATCGCGTCGCGCCACGCGTCGCGCGCCGCGGCGCCGGCCGCGGCGAACGCGTGAACCACGCCCGGCGGGCACTCGACGGCGAAGCCGCGGTCCCCCCGGTCGTCCACGGCCACGCACTCGTGCAGCAAGATCACGGCGCCCGGCGCCGCCGCCGCGGGCGACGGGCACTGGCCGTGGAAGACGATCTCCTCGTGCGGCGCGCAGCGCAGCACCGGGCCGAGATAGAGGCCCTCGGCGAACGTCGCGGGCACGAGGCGGCAGTAGGCCGGGGCGCCGTCCTCGAGGTGGAGCACGCCCTCCTTGAGGCTCACGCAGCACAACTGGGACCGCAGTTCGACCAGGCGGTCCCGCGAGTCCCGCGAGGCGCCGTCGTTCGCCTCGTAGTGGGCGATCTGTTGGGCGAGCCACTCCTCGCGCGTCGACATATCTACCGGGGTCTCACCATCGGTCGAGTCCGGGTCGCGAGGCGACGGCCCGCCCGCTCGAGGTCAGCTCGGGTTGTGTTGTGGTAAATTTTGGGTCGCCAGCGCGAGAAGGCAGACGATGCGGCGACGCCTCGCGCTCCTCGCGGGCCTCGTCCAGGCGGCGTCGGCGGCGACCGTCGCGTCGGACATCCTCTTCGTGTCCGCGCAGCCCGACGAGCCCGAGTTCATCTGGCAGTGCGAGGCCTACGGCGCCAACTTCCGGTCGCTCGGCGTCGCACCGCACCGCGTCGCCATGGTCTTCGCCGTCGCGCGGGGCCGGCCGGCGTCGGAGGGCCTCGCGTCGCTCCAAGCCATGGGCTACCGCGTCGAGCCCTTCGAGGACGCGCGCGGCGCCGCGTACCGCGCGTACACGGGAACGGTCCGCCTCCACGCGATGGCGCGGTTCTTCGACCGCTACGCCGCGGAGCTCGCGACGACGCGCGTCTTCTACCACGACGCCGACGTCGCGTTTCTGCGTTTGCCCGAGATCCTCGCCGGCGACGGGTCGTGCCTGCCGCGCGCGGCGCCGCGGCTCGCGCTCAGCGACGCGGGCGCGTACGTCGGTTTCGGACACGTCGAGCGCACGGCGCGGGCCATGGAGCGCAGCTACCCGGGCGCCTACGACGCCTGCTGGGCCGCCATGTGCGGCGCCTTCCCCGGGTGGGAGAACGTCGAAGCCTGCCGCGCGGAGGTGGAGGAGCGGGATTTGACCGGCACGGGCATCTTCAGCCAGGGCCTGCTCGAGGGCGTCGACGCGGCCTTCTTCGCCGAGGCGCTCGAGCGCACCGCCGACCTCTTCAACCGGCTCCGGGCCTTCGAGGCGGAGAGGCCTCATGTTGAGCCCATGCCGTTCTTCGACACGCAGCTGTCCTGGAAGGCGGACATGTTCGCGCCGCTCTGGCTGCTCTGGTCCGAGCAGCCCGCGGCGACGACGGCGACGTCTCCGGACCTGAGCTTCGGCTGGGCGACGGACTCGCGCGCCGAGGCCTCGACGCACGCGATCCTCCACATGGCGGGCGTCGCGGAGCCCGCGCGCGGCGTCTTCCACAAGGGGTCCTTCAAGAACGAAAGCCCCGTGGACCGCCTCTGCGCCGACGCGGGTGCCTTCGACGACGTCGACGCCGATAGTGCGAGCGCGCTCTACGTGGAGCGCGCGCTCGACGTCGCCGTGAGCCTGAGGCCGGAGTCCGCGGGCTGCGCAAAAAGAGCGGCGCGCGACGTGCTCTTCGTGAGCGTCATGCCCGACATCCCCTTCCTCCGCTGGCAGTGCGCCGTCTACCTCCGCAACTTCCTCGACGTCGGCGTGCGGCCGAAGCAGGTCGTCATGCTCTTCGCGCTGAAAAGGGGGGAGGAAGAGTCGAAAGCGGTGTCGCAGTTTCGCAACGCCGGCGCGCGGTCGCGGACCTACGTCGACGCGCGGCCCAAGACCGCGGCCTTCGAGTACACGGGCAGCATCCGCCTCTGGCTCCTGGCCAAGTTCGTCGCCGACGACGCCGCGGAGCTCCGCGCGCACCGCGTCTTCTACCACGACGCGGACGTCATCTTCCCCCGGGGCCTGCCGCCGCTCTTGGCGAACCCGCCGTCCCACGAGACGCGGCCCGGCGTCAAGCCACCGGGCCACGTCACGACCATATTAGCCGACGCGACGGCCTACACGGGCACGGGCCATATTCAAAGAAGCCACGACGGCTACGCGGCGCACGGAGTCGACGTCTGGGGCCTGCTCTGCGCGGCCGCGGACTGGGAGCGCGACACCTGCGTGTCGGTCGTGCGGGCACGCGACGGCGAGGGCACGGGCATCTTCAGCCAGGGTTTACTCTACGACCTCTGGGACGCGGACTTTTTCCACGCCGCGTGGGAGGTCGGCGACGCCATGTACAAAAAGATCCGCAAGGAAGAAAAACGGCTCCACCTCGGGTCCTGGGGGGCGAACTCGGCCGTCGACGTCCAGCTCTCCTTCAAGGCCGACATGCTCGCGCCGCTCTGGCTGCTCTGGAAGGCCGACGCCGCGGGCGAGGCCAGGGTCGACTCGTCGCTCTCGGACGAGTTCGCCTTCGCCTGGGCGACGTCGCCGCGGTCGGCGCTGGACCGGTCCCCCATCCTCCACATGGCCGGCGCCTGGAAGCGCTGCGGCGACACGGGCACGGGCGCGCGGGCGTCGACCTGCGGCTTCTTCAAGAACGAGTGGGTGCTCCGGTCGCCGGTCAACGCGCTCTGCGAGGACCCCGCGGAGTTCGACTACGTCACGGACGACGCCGCGTCCGTCGAGTACGTCGCCGTCTTCAAGCGTTTGGTGGATGTCGGCCTGCCCAACGGCGTCGACGCCTGCGACCCCGCGCTCTATGCGGGCGAGCCCCGCCTATTGTCGCGCGAGACGCGCGGCGACGGCGCCGTCGTCGCCAAGTACGTCCGCCTCGAGGCCCTCGAGCCGGAGGTCGTCTGCGAGGCGCCGGATACCTGCGAGACGAGGGTCACGACCCTCGAGCACCACTCCACGGACGTCATGAAGGACGGCACGACGACGAACACGCGCCACGAGGACCGGTCCGTCGCCAGGACGCCGGGCGACTGCGCCGACCTGTGCCCCCACCTCGCCTCCGGTTAACGTCGAAAGACCCCAGGGAGCTATACGGACCCGTGCGACGCGCGGGCGCAGGCCGTCGGGCCGCGGGCGAGGCGCGCGGCGAGGAGCGCGAGGTCCTATGTGTAGGCCCGTCATAACAGCGAGTTCTTCTTAGTGGCCACGCGCCCTAGTCTTTGAAGGGAGGCATGTGGCTCTCCCCTGACCTAGGCGAGCGCGTTCAGTACGGCCGAAGGTCTCGTCGAAAAAACTTTGAAGTGTCCAGACCCGCCGGGCCATCCGCGGCGGGTCTAGCTGGGCGCGACGACGGACTCCGTGGAGCCGCGCGCCGCGCGTGTCCTTGGGCGCGACGAGGCTTTAGTTGGCCTGCATGAAGCTCACGTGCGTGATGCGGTACAAGCCCGGGATGGGGTTCTCGGCGTTGGCCACCTCGTGGAGGAACGCGGCGTTCGCGAGGCCGTCGAAGGCGTAGCTCGCGTTGTGGCCGACGCGGATGACGATCTCCGACGCCGTGTCCATGCGCGCGTAGCCCAGCTTCGACTTCGGATTGAGGTGCCTCGCCGTGAAGCGGACGCCGGAGACGTTCTTGAGCTCGAGCTCGAGCTCCGCGGCCCGCGCCTCGGAGATGGGCACGAGCTTCCGCGTGTCGTGGTCCAGCGTCGCGTAGGAGATCGTCGCGTGGGTCGCAAGCGACGGCACGGCCTCGTTCCCCGCCAAGGCGTTGTCGCGGTGCGCGTGGAGCGTCACGGCGCGCTTCTCGCCGGGCGCCATCACGAAGATCTTCGAGTTCGACTTGACGGTCCCGGCGAAGAAGCCGCGGTCCTTCGGCTGGAAACTCGACGTCAGTCCGGCGAGCGTGGACATAGCCGCGTGGGCGTGGGGTGGGAGCTCCTCCGCGCCGTCCTGCTGGTTGTCGAAGTTGTCGGGCTTGCCGAAGTTCGCCTTGTGCGACTTCTGGTCCGTTTGCCGGTGGGTGCCCACGTTTTGCCAGGGTTTGTCGTCGCCCTCCGGCGAGACGCGATCGAAGACGTCGCCGGGGAGGGCGTGCTCGCAGGCCTCGTCGATGCGGCCCAGCGCGTACTTGCTCATGGTCGCGGCCGCGGCGACGTACGGGCGGCCGCGCTCCTCGAACGTGCAGGCGCGCACGTACTCCTTGCCCTTGGACGTGCCCGTGCCGGCGGAGAAGGGCTCGAAGTGCGCGCGCTTCTCCGTCATCACGTAGCCCGGGCCGCCCTCGCGGTCGATGCCCCACCGTTCGCGGGCGTATTGCAGGGCCACGGTCGTCGTCATGCCGGAAAACGTGCTGTGGGACTTGGGGCCCTCCGCCGCGCCGTTGGCCTTGGCCTCGCGCTTCGCCGCCTTGGCCTCGAGCGCAGCCGCGGCGACGGAGTTTTGCTGCGTAAAAGCCACCGCGAAGTCTCTGATCTGCAGGTTAGAGCGCGAGCCCATCATCTTCGTCGACAGCCCGGACCAGTCGCCCCACCCGCCGCTCAGCGACCAGTCGAGGAACGTCGCCTTCTCGTCGTCGCCCCACTTGCCCGGGCGGCGCGCGGCCGGAGCCGCGGCCGGCGTCCCGCCGCCGTCCGCCGCGAGCGCGTCGACGACGGGCGACGTCGCCTGGGCCGTGGACGCGCCGCCGTCCGCGCCGAGCGCCTCGTGCGCCACGAGCCGCGGCGCGGCGTCGGCGGGGCCCTCGCCCTCGGACGCCGCGACGGACGACGGCTCGCGCGCGCCGTCGGCCGCGACGCGCTCGGGCGCGGCCTCGGGCGGCGGCGGCGCGGCCTCCGCGACGACCGCGTCGCTCGGGTTCGCACCGGCGCGGAGCGCGGCCGCCGCGGCCTCGAAGCCGTCCTCGCCGCGCGCGTCCAGCACGGCCAGCGCGGCCGTGTAGCGCAGGCGCGCGGCCGTCGGCGGCGGCGGCGGCGGCGGCGGCGGCGGCGGCGGCGCGGAGAGCGCGTCGATCCAGCGCTGCATCGCGGGCTGTTTCCAGCGATTCCTGACGGCGTGAATGGTCCGACCCGGCAGGGACTTGGCGATCAACTTCCATTTGTTGCCGTGCTGCCGGTGGAGGTCGAAGAGCGTCCGGTTCTCGTGCTCCGCCCAGTCGCCGCCCCCCGTGGTCGAGGCGCTCGTCGGGGCGCTCGCCGCGGCGCTCGCGAAGCGCTGCTCCAGCTCGCGGAGCTTGGACCGGACGCCGAACGCCTCCGCGACGTTCTCCGTCGTCTGATCGCAGGGCGTGAAGACCCGCTTCCCCATGACCGCGTCGCCGAACACGCGCTTCCGGAAGGACGCGTCGTCAATGAACTTTCGCGTGATGTGCACGGGGGCGCGGTGGAGCTTCTCGCTCAGGTAGGGCCGGAGCGACGTGCCCCGCGGGCAGTTGAGCATGCCCCGGTCAAACTCGCGGATGGAGGCCGCCGTGAAGTCCTCCTCCTCCGCGGTCCAGTTGCCCTGGCGCCACGGCGGGGCGCCGGCCGCCTGGGCCTGGGCCGCGGCGCCCACCGCGTCGACGGCCGACGGGGCCGCGGGCGGCGGC